GCCCAAAGTACGTTGCTGCTGCGACTGTCTCAAAATGTGTCGCGTGTGACTCTACGGCGTACGATGTTACACAAGCAGACACGTGCTCGTTGTACATGCCCTATTCGTATTGTATTTGCTCAATTTATGTCATGCGGTAGTTGTGCACGTGAGTTAGGATATGGTGATACCGGTGTGTGTGTGTGAGTATGCTGTTTGGTGTGCAATATACGCACGCTCCTGAGCGTTTATGCATGTTGGTCCTGCCCGGTGGAGGTATCTGTTGTGCCCATATGGCTGTCATTGCTGTGTGTGCGCTCCTGATGGATGCTTGGAATGCGCGCTTCATGTATGTCGTTGATGCATGTTCGTGGCTTACGTTCTTGATGCAAGATACTGCCTTGTGCTCATATGTGCTAACACTGCCGGTACGTAATGCACGCCATGTCAGGCTGTTGTCATGAAAGTGACGTCTGCTATTGACATTTTAATGATAATGCTGTGGTTTGCCTGGTGTATGATATTTGTGTACGTCCTGGATATATGATGTTGTTGTGTCATCCTGCTACCTGGGCTTGATGTCCAGTATTCGTGTATGTTTGTTGTTGCCCATGGTGATGTGTTTGTATTGTGTCTCTAGTCTTGTTGTCATGCTGGCGGTGCTGGTTCCTGACGTGGGATACTGCTGTATGGTATTGCTGCGTTATTCGTGCAGTCTGTTCATGGTGTCCATTGCTGATGATGCCCGTCGTTGATGCACTATCTTGATATATTGTAGGTGCTGCATGCTACTCCTGAACTGTATTGATGCCCTGATGCTGTTGATGTTTGCTATTGTTGTCTACCCCTGCTGTGATGTGGGGGCACGTTATTGGTGTCCGCTATAATGGCATGCCTTGGTGTCCGCTCGAATTGCACAGCATTGGCGCATGACCGGGATGTTCGATAATGATGCCTGGCATTATGTATGGATTTGACTTACGTTCACCCTATATGTTCCTCATTCGCATTCTTGATGTCTCTTCTTCATGTTGTGTAGGTATGGCTGATCTCTGTTGCTCCCTGTCATTTGTCTATGCTGTTGATGTGTTGCGTTGGTCGCTAGATTGTCAAGGTCTATATCACTGGAGTACTCTCCGCTCGTTAATAATATAATCGGAGAAACTATGTCTCGGCTAAACTAGATCGGTAGTATAGGTGCCCGACTTCAGTAATTCCGAAAACTAGATCGGCCCGCTTAATTACACTCACATGTCCTAGAGCATACATCAATCTTCTAGTTTAAACGAATGGAATGTGTGTGTTGCCCATGTGTTTGGACACGCTGCCGATGTCTGCTCCTGGATCTCTGTGGACGGCGTGACGTCGAGGACGCCAGGGCGGCGCCACACCTCCCTGGTGGGGCTCGGCGGGGCGGCATGCAGTCGGGGCATTGAGCTCAGGAGCCCTGAATAAGGAACGAGGGCTCTTTCCCCCCAAAAGTTAAACTTCGATCTCCCATGGAGGACCCAAGGAAAACCCAAGACACCGTGTAAAACAGCTAAGGAACACGGAGCCCCTCCCCAACGAAAAGGGCTCCTTCTTCAGCGCCCCGACTGCACTCCGGGGCACTCCGGGATTTTCTCTTTCGGCGCAGCCGCGGCGTCCAGGGCTGGCGGACGGCAGGGCAGCAAAAAACCTCAGGGAGGCACCTCGATCCTGGGTACCCCCTCATATCTACCGCCGCCCTCCTCCCTCCTCCCCCCCCCCTCGATGCCCACGGGGAGCCGGTGACCCCCCTCGCGGTGACCCCCCCGGCAACTCGGGGCAGGAAGGAGGCGGGCCCCGAGGGGAGGGAGGCCCGGCGCCGGGGCGCTCCCCTCTCGAGAGGGCCAGCGTGCTCCTCCCGATCGAGCGCCCTCTCTCCGCGGCTGGCCCCGGAGCCTCCGGGGAGGGCCGCGGGAGCGCGGAGCTGGCGAGGGCCTTCGGAGCTCGATGCTCGCTCCTCCTCCTCCTCCTCCTCCTCCTCCTCCTCCTCCTCCTCCTCCTCCTCCTAGGGCTTCCAGGCGGACAGACCTTTCTGCCAGTCTTCGGCCTCGGGGTGCCTTCACCGGGCCCCGCGGCCGTCAAGAGAACGGTTCGGCACGGAAAGCCGGCCCCGGGGAGAGGGTCGGGACTTCCAGGGGCGCCGTCCTGAAAAGGTCAGGACCTCGCACGTCTGGGCCTGCGTCGCGGCGTGCAGGACGGCGCCCAGGGGCGCGCACAAACAGATAGGAGACAGGCACAGAGCCCAGGATTCCCCCCCCCCCCCCGCTCTCCCCCTGCTCTCTGGGCTCTCGTCTTCTGGAGGTCTCGACCCATTCCCCAAGGCTGAATTCTCATCCCGAGTCGTTTTCTGATGGTCCCGGGACCCAGAGGCCCCGACAACAGCGAAAAACCTCCGCCTCGATTTTCCCAATGCGCTGGATCTCTGGGGCGCTCTTCTAGAGGCCTCCTAGATGGGGTCCGAGTAGATGGGGTCGAAGGATCTCGCCGCATCGGCGATGCATCGGACATGCACTGGCGACGTCGGCGATGCATCGGCGACGTCTGCGTGGAGAGAATGGGGCCCCACATCGAGCCGCATCGCCGATGCATCGCTGACGTGACGGGATCCTCCGATCCCATCTGCTCCGACCCCATCTAGGAGGCCTGGATTCATGATGTTCCAACCTACTTTAATTTTGACCGCCAGAAAGAATTTCGAGCACCAAGAACGCACCGAAACTCGAGGGTTTTCACGCGTCGTGCCCTGGGAGGCGATACTCGTTCGACAGTGTTTCGATACTTTTTCGGGTGCTCGACCGTATTTCGGGGATGTGGTCATTAAGCGCGATGGGAACAACATAAGCCTAGGTCTTCCTCTCCTGGATAGGACATGCTGCCTGGACCCCTACAGGGGGATTTGGGACGAAACATTAAACGTAGACAAGCATATTCCAACAATGCCCAAACATACTCACACAAATCGTCCCCAGACTATTTTTGGATTATCTTTGAATTTGCCCCTTTCAGAGGAACACGCCCGACTTCAGCCTAGATCTTCCCCTCGTGGATAGGGCATGCTGCCCGGCCATCTGGAACTCCAGGCACTCCTCACACAGGGCGGTACTCGACGGCAAAAACCTCCCGTCCTGATTTGTTTTACGACGCGATCATGTCTGGGCTCCCCTTCTGGATGGGGCATGCTGCCTAGCATTCCGGCTGCGAGGAGCGTAACGGATATGATTGTAATCCACCTCCAACTCCCCCTCCTCCATCTCACACCCTCCTCCTCCTCCTCCTCCTCCTCCTCCTCCTCCTCCTCCTCCTCCTCTTCCTCCTCTTCCTCCTCTTCCTTCTCCTCCTCCTCATCCTCCTCTTCCTCCTCTTCCTCCTCTTCCTTCTCCTCCTCCTCATCCTCCTGCTTCTCCTCGTCCTCCTCCTCCTCCTCCTCCTCCTCCTCCTCCTCCTCCCACTCCTACCTCCTACACTCCTCCTCACTCCTCCTCCTCCTCTCCGACCCTCCCTCCTCCTCTTTCTCCTCCTTTCCTCCTAATCCTCCTCCTCCCACCCTCTCCTCTCCTCCTCCTCATCCCTTCTCCTCCTCCGCACCACTCCTCCTACCACCGCCTCCTCCTCCTCCTCCTCCTCCTCTTCCTCACCCCTCCTACCTCCTCCTCCTCCTCCTCTTCTTCTTCTTCTTCTTCTTCCTTCCTCCTCTCCTCACTCCTCCTCCTCTCCTCTCTCTCCTCCTTGCCTCCTCTCCTCCTTCTCCTCACCCCTCGCCTCCTCTCCTCCTCCTCCTCCTCCTCCTCCTACTCCTCCTCCTCCTCCTCCTCCCCCTCTCCCCCTGCTCCTCCCCTCCTCCTCCCCTCTCCCCTCATCACTCCTCCTCCTCCTTCTCCTCCTACACATCCTCCTCCTAGAATCCTCCCCACATGGCCTATCTGGAACTAAGCACTCCCTCGCACGCACAGGCGTTGCGCGACGGCAGTGCGGCGCCTCGTACGCCCCGCTCGCCAGCAGGCGGCCGTGTCCTCCCCCACGCGGCCCCCGAGCGCCCCCCCCACCTGCTCCGCCCGCGACGACGGACGGAGGAGGAGGAGGAGGAGGAGGAGGAGGAGGAGGAGAGGAGGAGGAGGAGGAGGAGGAGAGGAGGAGGAGGAAGAGGAGGAGGAGGAGGAGGAGGAGGAGGACGACAAAGGGAAGAGGAGGAAGGAGGAGGAGGAGGAGGAGGAGGAGGGGCAGGAGGAGGAGGAGAGAGGAGGAGGAGGAGAAAGGGCGCAGAGGAGGAGGAGGAGGCGGGACGGAAGGAGGAGGAGGAGGGAGGAGGAGGAGGAGGAGGGGGAGGAGGAGGGGGAGGAGGAGGAGGAGGAGGAGGAGGAGGAGGGAGAGAGACGAAAGAGGAATAAGAAAAGGAGGAGCAGGAGGAGGCGGAGGAGGAGGCGGAGGAGGAGGAGGAGGAGGAGAACGATGGTAGTGGATCGGTACAACGTCGTCGACCGATTCTCCTCGTTGTCGATCGTCGTCCCCTGGCGGAGCAGACGCTCGAGACTGGCCCCAGGGCCCGCCCCGGGGTTCGCCCGCCCTGGCGGGCATTCTGCACAGCGCCGTGGCCCCCTCGGCTACGCTCGGCGGCGAGCGAGGAGGAGGAGGAGGAGGAGGATGAGAGGAGGAGGAGGAAGGAGGAGGAGAGTAGTAGTAGTAGTAGTAGTAGTAGTTAGTAGTAGTAGTAGTAGTAGTAGTAGTAGTAGTAGTAGTAGTAGTAGTAGTAGTAGTAGTAGTAGTAGTAGTAGTAGTAGTAGTAGTAGTAGTAGTAGTAGTAGTAGTAGTAGTAGTAGTAGTAGTAGTAGTAGTAGTAGTACACAGCTGATGAGCAATGTTACCTGAGTGCGCACACACATACCGCACGCGCCGCGCCGCACACACATGCACACGACAAAAATGATCGAGGCTGCCCGCTGTCCACGGCCTCAGGCCGTCACCGTCTTTTTCCTGGTGCCACGGCAGCACTGCCGCGCTCAAAGGCGCGACGCTGTGCGCGGCCACACGTCAGAGCGGTCGTCCACCACGAGGTAGACGGGGTAGTTCGACCTCCTGGAGTCCTTCCCACCGATGTTCCCCTCATCACGATTTGAGCACGTCGATCCAGGCCGAGAGCTCGTCCTCCATGTATCCAGCGGGCGCAGTGCCCGACGTGACCACGCAGTCGAGCTGCTTGAATGAGTCCGTGAGGATGTTCTCCTTGGTCTGGTCGTTGATCGGGAACACGATCTTGACCATGTCCTTCTGGTACCAGTTCTCGAACCTGCACAGCTTGACGAAGCCGGGCGGGTCGCCAACCATGGCCGTGGACCACGCCTCGAGCGTCTGTCTGTTGGCGCGCCCGACCTCCTCCCCCGCGAGCGCCTCGACCATCGCGCAGAACATCGTTGCCGTCGGGGGGCCGAGCTCGCGCAGCGCGAGAGAGGCGGCGGCCGCGTCCTTGTCCGCCTGGGCCTCCGCGGGCTTGTCGTTCGCGTCCTTGGCCTGCTTCGCCGCGTCCTTCATCCGCTGCAAGGCGGACCAGGCGCGAACCGCATGATGGTAGTTCTCCGTGACAAACTCGGGCTGCGACGCGTCGCCCATGAAGCCGCCGCTGCCACTGCGAACCGCGCACCTGTCGTCAGCGGCGTCGATGATCACCGTGAGGCGGCTTCGTCTCGTACTCGTCACAGCCGTGGCGTAGCAGATATCAGCATCCGTGTTCTCCTCCTCCCCCGCCAGCCTGGCATGCGCGCGCTCCTCCAGCTGGTCCTTCGATCCGCAGGCGAACGCATTCGTCGCGTCGTAGCTCTTGTGAAGCATGGGTTGGCCACTATGACGCCCCTTCCACGCCGCGACCTTCGTCGCGATCGTCAGGTGCCCCCTCCTCCCCCCACTGCAAGCGAAGGCCCACGGGGGGGGGGGGCCTGAACGTGCCACCCCGCAGCAGCAGCCCACGAGTGCGCGCCCTCCACCACGGACCCATGGCGCGCAGCAGCCGGCGCCCAGCAGGTCAAGCCTTCCCGTTCTTCTTGCCAGGCGCGAACCCGAACGAGAGGGGGGCCTGGAGCGGTAGAGTCTCCGTCCCCCTCACCTGCAGCGCCAGCCTGGAGAGCCTGAAGGACGCCTTGGCCGTCATCTTGAAGTCCATCAGCGCCTGCACCAGCGCAAGATCGGGAACCTCATAGTTGTCGGGGGTCGCAATCTCGTCGGCGTCCTTCAGCTGCGTGCACCTCTCCTCGGTGAGCTCAGCACAACACAGGACTGTCACCGATTCGCCCGCCACGCCACCACTCAGCGGGGGGAGCTCCAGGAACAGCACCCACTCGGACACCGACGGCGAGAAGCTCGGGTTCGCGCGGTAGCTCCTGTTCTTGATGCCAGCGCCAGTGCCAGCCAAAGCACGCGACAGCCGCGGGGACGCCGCCATGCCCCTCAGCTTCCACGCGCGCGCCAGGTCCTCCTCCGTCATCCTCCTCCTCTCCGCCAAGAACTTCCGCCGATGTGGCTTCAGGGTCTTCGTGTGCGCCTTGGTCGCCACTGTCGGCTTGGCCACCTCCGAAGTTGTCGTCGTGTCAGCCGCCGCCGCCGCAGCAGGCGCGTCACCCAGCAGAGTCCTGCGGCCCGTCAGCAACCTCCACTTCTCATTCGTCATGCGGGCGGCTAGCTCGTTGTACGCAGGGGCCTGGGAGAAGTGCTTCAGGATCATGTTCATCAGCAGCGCAGCGTGGCCCGTCGTGACCTCGCGGCTCTCCAGCGCCTCGAAGGACGCGCAGTGAGACTCCAGCACGTACTGGAGCTGGTCCAGGAACGCCTCGCGGCCCTCGCCCGTCAGGGCGGCCTGGCTGAGCTTGGCGCGGTCCCAGCGTTCCCGCAGGGGGGCGAACACGATCGGCAGCACCATCTTCAGTTTCAGCACAATGGGGATGTGGTCCAGCACAGCAGGCATCCCCCCTCCCCCCTGCATGAGCCGATCTCCTCCACGCCTTCGTCCAGGAGACCAGCGGCGCCGCCGCTGCGGGGGTGCAGACGTAGTCGATCTGGCTGGTGCCGTTGGCCCCCTCGAAGGTGTGGCCACAATCGTAGTGGGTATTGATGGCGATGAGCCCGACGGTGGACAGCCACTCGTGGGCGGCGGACCCGCGCGCCGTCTCCTTCTCGGGCCCGAACGCGCCCACGACGTCGGAGTTCGCCTTGGCCACCAGGCCCGGGTTGAGGTCCATGCAGATCACGGGCGTGTACCTCTGCGGGGTCTCCAAGAACTCCTGCTTCGCCCACCTGAGCAGCTGGTCGCACGTGTCCTTGTAGACTTCGACGCTTCCGCCCATGCTCGGCTTCGGGGGGAAGTACCGCACCGTCGTCGCGACCGCGGCGGGCCCCGACGAGACGTGCGCGGGGCCGCCGCGCCCAAGCAGAGCGAAGGGCGGGGTGACGATCCGCCTGAGATCCTTCTTGGCGAGCCAGGTCTTGTTGATCATGGCGGCGCAGCCGCCAGCCTTCGTGACGAGGCGACTCCGAGCCCAGCCGAACTGCGCAGTGTGGTGGTATGGCGCCGATGCCGCATGGTGAGCTTCACCTTGCCATGATCGCACGCCCGTGCCAGGCAAGCCGATGGCCCCGACGTTGCGCAGCACCGCGGAGACCTCGTCGAGGCGGTGCGCCGTGGCCAGCGAGTGGGGGTTCCAGCGCCCCAGGGAGCTCCAGCGCTCGCCGCAGACGGCGCCGACGAGGCAGAAGAAGAACAGCTTCAGCATGCGAGGCCGCCAGCCCCACTGGGGCACGCAAGCGAGCACGCGGGCTGCCGCGCGCCGCCTGCCCCCCGCCAGGGGGCGGCGCGCAGGAGTCAGCGCCTGCGGGCCGCGGCTGGCCCCATTGCAGCGGGGCGGCCCTCGGCGGGCCGCCTCTAAAAGGGGGGGGGGGGGGGTCTGGGCCGCGTCGGCGGCTGGGGAAGGAGGAGGGGGGGGGGGGGGGGGAGGGGAGGATGAGGAGGAGAGGGATGAGGAGGGGGAGGAGGAGGAGGAGGAGGAGGAGGAGGAGGAGGAGGAGGAGGAGGAGGAGGGGGAGGAGGAGGAGGAGGAAGAAGAAGAGGATAACGAACGAACGAACGACTCAACAGAGGTGCGCCAGCACGGGTCAACGCCCCACAACCGATTACAGAGCAGAGTAAAACCCATCGGAATTACTGGCAATCGCATCTAGAGTGTGCCATGGTCCTATCATCAGACAGAACCACGCGTGGCCTCGCGGCACGGCGCCCCCACCCACCCCCTTCCACGGCTGGATTGCCACGTTTTGAAGACGGCGAGCCGAAGGGGTAGGGGCAAAAAACTGGGTGAGCTAAAAGGTCAAGCCCACGCAGGCCTCCGACCTACGCGACGGCCCACGAGAGATGGGCCACCGCGCTAGAAGAAGGGGGGGCGACCCTAAATCGGGTTCGAAACTCCCCAGGAAGGACAGGATTTAAAGCCAAACGCACAGGGGGGGGGCCCAGGAACCAGGAACAAACTACTTACGCCTGGGGGCCAGCCCGAGGAGACTCATCACACTGCTGAGAGGGAGGTTCTGACTAGGAGGAGAAGGAGGCGGCAGACAGATTCGGCGGCCTAGACGAGGTCATAGAGGAGGGGTCCGCTGGAGAACAGGGCGCGCCCGACGTCGACGGAGTATACCCAGTGGCCCTCGCAGACGTCCCAATCGGTCCCATGGCCTTACTCTGAGCTGCAGTCCATCTCACCTGCGATCCCGGACTCGGATTCAGTGGAGTAGAGGGCGATGTAGGGGCCGACGCGGTGCCCAGAGCCGGCGTGGCCTCCTCCTCTCTACCCTCAGCAGGCAAGCGAGCCGTCACCGACAGCTCGCCAGAATAAGCTTGCACTTCACTGCTGGGACAGAGGGAGGATTGGGCCGTCTCCACTGGCTGCAAGCACGCCGAGAGAGACTGGATGCTGGATGCATCTTCTTCGGTCGGCGGTGTGGCCTCCACCACTCCTCCCTCAGCGGGCAAGCGAGCCGTCACCGACAGCTCGCCAGAATTATGCTTTCGCTTCGCCGCTGGGACTAAGAGAGGAGTGGGCCGTCGCCGCTCTCAGTAAGCACGCCGAGAGAGACTGGATCCTGGATTGATCTTCCTCGGTCGGCGATCTTTCATCCGTCGGAGGGCGTCCAAGAGAACCTGCATCGCTCGAGCTCCGTGACTCCTGGGTGGGATGCCGTGCTTGTGCCTGCCGCCGAGCTGTGCCAGCGCGGCCACCACCGCGTTCTCGAGCTCGGGGAGGTCGACCTTGAGCCACAACTTCACAAAGTCTCCCGTGTGCGTCGTCTGCATGCGGCAGTGGTGGGTCCTTTCGGCCAGCAGCGCGTTGCTGGGCTTCTCGTGGTTGACCGTGGCCATGTACGACTGCAGGGCCTGCAAGTTGAGTTGTCCGATCTTGTCTCCCTGAGGAATAAGCGCCCCGACCAGGGCCAGGAAGACGCGAGGATGAGGAATGCCCAGATCTTCGAGCGCCTGCACCAGCAATCCCGCGGCCAGCGCCTGCGCATTGTCCTTGCGGAGCCTCGCCGCCTCGCTGCCGTAGAACTTCGCCGTCAGCTGCGTTGCCTTGATCACGTCGTGCTTGATCGGCATCTGCGCGTGCCTGTACGAGGCGGCCTCGAGGTGGTTGATCGAGTGCTCGTGACGGAGGGCGAGGCGCGCGAGCACGGGGAAGGTTGCCTGAATCCACTCCAGTGGCATGAGGCCTAGGCCTTGCGCATCTCTTGGCGCCAGGCCATAGTGGTTGCCCACCAGCTGCAAGACGTCTGTCGCGCGGGGGGCTCCGTTCGTGCCTGCCGCCGCTTGTGGCGCAGACGGGGCCGCGCCCCCCGCTGCGGGCGCCGCTGGAGCGCCGCGGCGACCCTGGCGCCGACCTGGGCCGCCTCTGCCGCGGTCGGTGCTGCGGGTGCGGTCGCCGAACCTGCCCCGAAGCTCTTGCTCTCGCTGCTCGGTCCCAGTACTCAGGGCCCGCTCCGCCAAAGTTGACATCGAAGCACAGGTCTGGTGGCGGCGGGGCGTGCACTTCTCGCATGTGTTGTCGAAGCGAAGCAAGTGAGGGGAACTCTCCTTGAGCCCGAACGGCGCCCGTGGGTCTCTCTCGATGATGGGGGCGTACGCTGTCGGGGTCCACGCAGACTGGGCGCATCAGGACCTCTGGAACCCTCAGAGCAGGGGGGTACGGGCTGAAGTCGGCCAAGCATCTCTTCAGCCTGAGGGGCTGGACCACGTGGCGCCTGGCCAGCACCTCCGAAGAACGTCGAGGACAGTAGAAACACTGGTTAGTCACAATCAGTTGATGGACGGGGACACGCGCTTTATGAGCAGGGCGATGACAAAGATGGGCCCTAAGAGCAGCCCGCGTCGGGAAGACCTGGCTGCACGCCTCCCTCTCGGCATCGGGAAACTCGCACACGTACTCTTGCAGTGGGGGTTCAGGCGCAGGGGGAACGGGCGCCCCAGGAGCTCGAGGAGGAAGGGATGGATCGTCAGACTCTTGTTCCCAGCCGGCCCGTCGGGGCCCCTTGGGGTCCACACTGCCGAACGCTGTCGCGATCCGATAATTCGTGAAGATGTCCCTAATCGAGTGCCCCTGGTCGAGGAAGTGGCGGCCGTGCGGCGTCACGCGAAGCGTCATGATATCTTCTTGCATCTGCAGAGCCCAGGGGTTAGATTTTGGATGAACCCAACCATTCTCCAAGAACACAGGTCGATCTTGCAGTGCAGAGAAATGTCCAAGCAGAGCTGCTCTCACCTGCGCGCTCGCCCCAGGGTGCAGTGCAATATTCTGCCAGTAGCGTAACCTGCGGACAAGCAGTTCCGCGCGTGCATCTCCGATGTGTAGCCTCTTCCGCAACATCCAGGCCTCGGGGGTCCTGGCCTGCACGCGCTCGCCTTCACCTCGCCTGGTAGCTACTCCACGTAGCGCAGCTTTGGCAAATCCCAAGATGACCGTATCAAGCCTAGCATAGTCCCTCTTCCCCAGGATGCAGGTCTCGGGGCCCGATTTGGCCGCGCTATGTGTGACGCCCAAGAAAGCCAGCCGCTTGAGCTTTAAGGCAGTGTGCTGATTCCAGACCCCCCCCCCCCCCGAGCTTAAAACAAGCCGAACGAGTAGCGTCGATACGGGCCCGAATCTCCGCACCACATCCCCCCGAAAGCTGCTCGACACCGCCAAGATACACCGCCCGAGCCTGAGGAACACCAGGACAACATGAAATCGTGCCCGAGAGAGCGGCCCGAGCAGACGTATAACCTCCAGGGCCCACGAAGACTGGAAGAACCACCTCCTTGGCGGCATTATGTGCGAAAGCCCCTTGCTCTCTGAGCATGCTAGAGAGGAAGCTACTAGAAGTACGCGCAAGGGCAGCAGCACGAACAGGATTGTTATCTGCGATCGGCAGTGTGTGTGAAACATCGTCAGCATAGCCCCTCATGGAAAGATCGATCGGCTGCCCTGCGATAGGACATTCGATGAGCGCGGCAGCTTCAATCAAAAGAACTTCGGCGACACCAATCTCGACCGTGTCTCGGTTCTCAAGCAAGAGCGTGCGGATCCAGCCCTCCAGGGGGCGAATGAACGACCTGACAAACAACTCGCGCGCGCTGCCGTCTCCCATGCCTGCGCCGTGCCGAGGGGCGAAGTGGGCCTTCTCCACGCCAGCGCGAACCCACATCACCGCCTCAGAGTGACGCTGGAGCAGAACTTCTGATCCTGCAAGTCGGGGGTGATCGCGCCAACCACTTCTGCCAGTGTTTCGCGGCTCGTGGACGGGAAGGCATTGCTCATGTCTTTCTGCATCTGCAAGTGCGAGACCTTGAGCTTCTTGAGCCGCCACGAGTGCAGACGCGAGACCAACTGAGCCCCTTGCCGAGCTCGTCGTCTGGCGTAGCCGTGCGCGTAGTACGGCAGCTCCTGCTCCTGGTGGCGCGTCAACATGCCGCGGCGCCAGGCCTTTCCGGATGGGCAGAGGCAGTGAATCAAGCGCATGGCCTTGGCACCTCGTTTGTAGTTGCCTGTTGCCAGCTGGAAGGTGCGCGACCAATGCCACCATGCAGGGGTGCGACGCGACATTCGTGTCTGCCTGAACAACGCCAACACCCTCTCGGCGAGTCGAGGACAAGGAGCGCGGGGGAGATGGCGAGCGTCATCCTCGTCGTGAGAAGCACGCCGTCTACCGTCGTCACCACGAGTCTCCACGGTCGCTCTCATGGGCGCCAGCCATATCTTGCCTGGCGCAGAGCGAGACGTCGCGAACCTCCGACGTGCAGATTTGTCTCGAGCCTGAAGTGTCCCAGTCCAATCTAAGTACGCCGTCGACGAGGGGTGTCCACGTAACTGCTTCCAATCGCCATCTGGGTCCTCTGTCGCACGCCGCTCGAAAGCGAACTCTGAGGGGGTCTCTGGGTCGTGGACGACGACGGCGGAGAATCCGACCTCCCTAGCACTCGCCTTCATCGTGTCGGTCCACTCCTCGATCGTCGGCAGGTAGTGGGGCAACGTGTTGAAGCGGCGCCTGCGGACGCCATGGTACTTAGCACCTACTTGGTAAGCCAGCTTCCACACAGTGCTAGAGTGACCCAGGTCGACAGCACGTTGGGCCTCTCGAAGCATTCGATCGACATTCTCTCGATCAAGCCGATCTTCATCGGAAAAGACACGACGACCAAGAGTGCGGCGCTTCCGCAGGAGCTCGTCACGCCGTTGACGATAGGCCTCCGTAGGTCCTGACCTGGTATCGGCCTGACAGGCACTCAGTGCAGCAGCGCGTACGTCAGCGACCGGTGCCTGCCAGAACTCGGGGGGGTCGTCGGTCTGAGCAGCTCGTCGCCACTCTGCAGCG